TTTTTTTTTAGAAATTGGGAAATTCTGAATTGGATAAATTTCCTATGCATCAGAAAACTTTCTGAAACCCTTGAGAAAGCCCCTAATGTTTTAGCCTTTCCTCATAGCAGAAAGTTCAGACCCCACATTCTTAAAATGTGAAATTAAGGTTTTTCTGCCACAACTTACATCACTTTACACTTGCTTACACATAATTGCATTTGCCGCTCTACCACCCATTCACTACATTTGGACAGATCATTTAGAGCTCTTCACAACCCATTTGTTTTACCCACCCTGAACAATTTAGTGCCATCAGCAAACTTGGCTACCCTGCCCCTGCTCAAGGGCAACCTTTGCCCAACCTGGTGCTCTCCAGGTGTAGACTATGATGCCCATCACCCCCACAGCCTCACTGGCTGCAGCTGATGTGAGGAGATGTCCAGTTCAAGTATCTGGAGGGCACCAGGTTGGGGAATGTTGCTCTCTAGGGCCTGGCTCATAAGCTTCCACAATTTTGCTGTTTCAGAGCACCAGCCTTTGCTGACTACAAAGCAGAAAATGTTATTTCCCAATTCTTCAGCCAAGTTCAAGCATAGTTACCTTAGTGAGTAATGACAATAATAGTGTGGAAGAACAACCATTCCCAGTGCAGAATGCACATAAGTTCTTTCAGTACATTATTAATCCTGTATAATAAATACAACTTTCTCAATAGCAGGCCCCTCCACAACTCTGGAATACCCTGGCCTTTGAGGTGCAATCAGTACCAATGACAACAGACTTTTGACAGCATGTAAAAAGTGACTTTTCACCCAAGCATTTGGCTAAAGTGGTGCCGGTGTATTTGATGATTTAGTAAGTTGTAGTTTAAAGAAATACTGCTTTATTGTGTTTGTGTGTGCAACTGTATGAACAATGAATAATGGTAGTATTTTAAATAAACATCCTACTGACTTTGTGAAATTATTATTCGTGTGTGACTAAACGTCTGTGTTTGATCAGAGGCTCTTCTTGAAGGTTGCCTTGAGCCTTTTGAGACACAGGGCACACTTGCAGCAACTTTTCATCTTGTATGCTGCTGTCCTCTCCCCCCCCCCCTTCACCCATTCATTTCTTTCTGTGATGACACAACACTCTTGACACTCCCTGCAAGATAGTTAAGAGAATTGCAGCTCTAGCCTGTACTAATAGTTGCCACCAGCATTTTAGACATCCCCAGTCTAGACCCAGGGAAATCCTGATCTGCAGTATTTTTTAAGGGGAAGGGGCAAACTGCATCCAACTCCCCAGAGCAGTCAAGCACATGTGCTATTCAGCCAACTGTTTACAAAAGTAGTCAAAAGAAGCAAGTTGCAAGAAACAGTAGCAAACAGAAAGCAAGAAAAAGTAGCGACCAAACAGAAAACAGTAGCAAACAGAAAGGAAAAACAAAACCAGTAATTTCTAGACAACCTTGCTGATACAATTTCTAAGTTGGTTTCAGCAACTTGCATACAGCCAGCCTTCTAGTTAAGCACTAGCCTGCTGGTGGACCATATGCTGCTCATTACAGACTTTACTGTGGGTCACATGGACTTTACAGTGCAGTGGAGCGTCTACCCAATATTATATTTTACCCTCTTTTTTGGCACTATTGCAGAATCCCATTTTTATTAATTGACAAGTTTAGCTGATTTTAAAATGCAAGACTAAAAAGATGCCCCCAATTAATCAGAATGATTTGTCTTAAATGTACTAATACTATCAGCATTATGAAAGAGCCATTATTCCCTAGTAGAAGGGGATGATTCTTCCACGATAATGAATACTGTAGCTCATGCTTGCATCTAAACAAAAATTTCTTCAAAAAATAGAGAGTGCATGTGTTAATTAGGTAATTGTCCTAGTCCTCACATAAGTCACTTTTAATGCCAAAGCACAGTAAGTAGATTTCATCCTATGCTATCCCTAGAGATGCATGTACAGGTTCTTACTTGTCTGCCACTATCTGGATTTTTTTTAAGACACAGAGGGAGACTGCAGATGCATAAATTCATGCTGCCAATTTAAACTGTTGTAGAAAGCATGACAAAATCTGGAAACCATCAGCACAGTTGGGTTACATAATTGCATTTTGTCTGGAATAAAGGAAATCACCGTGGCAGACAGGCAAAGGTAGTGACAAGGACAAACAAGCTTTGCCTACGTATGGCAATCCATTGAGGCTGAGCATTCAAGGATGTCCCGCTCATGTGGGTTGCAATATCAGCTACTGTTTTTCAAAGCAGTGCAATCTTAGTAAGAAAAACAAAAAAATATTATGGCTATGTCCAACAGTGATGTGGGACCTTCTGGAAAATTTTGAATCAGATAATGCCTCTTCGACCTAAATTGATGGTTTGATGTATCACGCTTAACTACATTATTTAAAAAGAAGAAAAAAGGAGCTCCATGTTAATTTAGCATGCTGTATAAAAACCTCAACTCTTTCTAGCAGCTCAAAATAGATGAATAGAAATATTTGATTAAGAACATGTTATGTTTCAATAAAAATAATGAAAGAGAGTTTTGACTGTATTTAAATGCTTGTAAACACTATTCTATAACAGCCTCTAATCCCTGGAACTCCCTTCCATAGGAAAGCCATATGGTACATTGCTTGATTTTTTAGGAGGGCAGTTAATTTTTTTTCTGTTTGGACCAGCTCTTGTAGCCCTCATTATTTGGGGTGCTGTGAATTTCTGTACACATGGGATTTTGTTTCTTCTCCTTCCCTAATGCACCCCCTGCAAAAAAAAAAAAAAATCTGCTCTGGAGGGTCACCCAAAACCCTCTAGAGCTGATTTTGAGGGTGTACATGGACTGCAGAGAAAGAAGAAGTTCAACTGCATGTCCAGAAATCTGAGTGAGCAGATATGCAGCTTTTGATACAGCTCCAAAATATTTTAAGATGTTACAATTCACACACTTTAGACTTGAGCGGAAAAATTAAGGTGTCGAATACTCATTTTAGCATGCTAGAATACCTGTTTGCATAAGTAATTGTGTTTTCTTGGGAACAGTCATAAGAAATCATGACTTTGGTTGCACATTTTACTAGCACTATTATTCATTCTAGCTGCCTAGCTCAGCATGTATTTTTTTTTCATGCAGCTAATCTCATGAAACAATGAATTTCTAAAACTGAAAACATTATGTAGAAACATAGTAGTGATATTTTTTCCAGCAAATTCTCCCTATCACTGATGCCTTCAGTAATGCTCAGATGTTATCAGTGAAGACACTACAGGTTGCCTTGATGTAACAAGTCATCCTTAACACAGCTAGCAGCAGGGGCAAACAGCAACAATTAATACTTGGATAATATGGTAAGGTACATTTTTCAACTTGTTACTTGCTCTGAGCCTGCAGCCACTCTGTCAGTCAATGGAACTCATGGCAAGTAATGTTTGTTGTGGCAAAGTTTGTGTTTGACCAACAATAGCCCTGCCACCACTATGCAGGAGTTTTTTCTGCCATGGGGTCACGAAGAGTCGGACACGACTAAACGACTAAACAACAAAGTGTTAAAATGTATATGAAACAATGAGGAGGAAATAAGCTGCAGCTGCTCTGGAGTCTACCAACCTGTGCCCTTCCTTCAACAGATACATTGGCACAGATTCAAAATTAGGGCAGGAAAATCAGTGCATTGCCATGTTTCCTCAAAAAGACAAGGAGCACCATGAGATATAGATAACTACCGACTCCAAGGTCACCCACACTCAGTTTCAACTGCAGGATCTCCTAGGGTGATCATTCCCTTTCATGCATACCAAGGGAGCAAGGAACAAGACTGAAACTTACCAAGTTGCTCCTGATTTCATGACATATGTTGTTGGTGACAAGAAGAGCAATGTCTGAACAGGCCCCTGCAGTGGCACTCCTGCCAGGGGTGCTAATTAGATAACTATTTTTGTATTGTCACATTTGCTACACAGAAATTCTGCCATACCAAAGTCTAACAGCTAATATTTCTGTTTGTTCCAACTCCTAATATTCTCTCATTTTAACACCTACCACCTGCACCTGTCAAGTAATGAAGAAGTCTGGGTAAATGAGAGCAGTATCAATTTCTCAAAAAGATAGAACTTTAATTAGAAAAATATGATACCAACTCAAAGCTGAAGCTAGCTTCAAAACACATTTTAATCACACAAGTTATCAAAACTTTGACATTAAAAGCTTGGGTGTCAAAACGTTTTGAAAAACTTTTGCAAGTATATTACAACTTTGCAAGCAGGCAGGGAGAAGAGAAGGAAACCAAGCCTACCTCAGGCAGGCAAAAAAGTTCATTTCGGTTTATTATATGTGGCACAAGCATAACTTAGATAAGCAATTTCAGTGGAATCATTTCACACAAATATGCAGTTGTGTGAGTGCACTGGGAACTTTTAAGTCACCGATCTGAGATTAGAAAGTGAAACTTTAAAGGGCTTACAATACTAACTTTCTCCCTTTACTTCTATGATAGTCTATGTCACACTTCTAGAACATAAAAAAGTTCACTTATATTGAGTCAGTGTGTTTCCATATAAAGACTTAATGCTGTGAACCATACAGTACAGATACTGCAGATGGGTTTTTTTTTTAAAGTCCTATCTGATTTTCCCAAGGAATTTGCATTGAATGCGGGGGGGGGGGAGGCAGAGATACAGGCTGGCATTTTGGTGCCAACAACATTCAGTGGGCAGGTGCTGCGAAAGATCAGAAGGCGTGATGAAGGCTACTCCGTCCCCACAATAAACACCATTTAACCTGCTTAGGAGTTGTGTCACACACCCCCCCCATAGCAAGAATTGAACCTGGGACCGTCTGCATGAGAATCAGGAAGCAATCGGCCCTGCTCTCATGTTTAGAAGGCTCATCCCACCATGATGCCCACAACTCGCCACTAGTTCCCTGATGACTTGACCCGCTAGCTGAAAACAAAACAAAACTTGGGGGCGCCTGGCATCATCCAACAGGAGCGCTGCCAGGCAAGGGAGAAGGCAACTCACCCGGCGGGATCTGGAAGTTCGCAGGTAGCTGTATCGTCACCGTCTGCGGGGCTTTGGGGGCGCCGGGCTGAGGGGTCGGCAGCCTGGTCCCCGCGCCGGGCGTCTTGGGGAGCTGCTGAGCCGGAGGCGCCCCTTTGCCCGCCGCGGGAGCGGACGCCGCCCGGGGCTGCTGGGCGACGCAAGGAGGGACTCTGCTGAGGGGAACTTCGGCGTTCAAGGCGACCGCCGCGGCGGGCGGCGCCGTGCTGTGGGCGCGCGGCGTAGCCGGGGCCTCGCGGAGCCCCCCGGTCCCATTCAAGGCGGCGGCGGTGGTGGCGGGGCCGTCCGCCAAGGCTGCGAGCTCAGGAGACCCGGAGGGCAGGACCCTCCCCGGCGCGGCTGCTCCCGGGGTCGTCATGGAGGAGAGGGCGCGCGGTGGAAAGTGCAGGAGCCTTGCGGAGACTCCGAGCGAGTCCACAGCATAGCAGCCTCCGAGGGGGCCCAGGAGCCGGCGGAGCTTCCGCAGCTGACGATGCGGCAAAAGCAGCGGCGGCAGAGTCCCCAGCGAAACAAGCTGCCTCAGAGGCTGCACCGCTCGCGGACCAAGCAAGAGTTAGGGACAGGGCTGCAGAAAACACCTGGTCACGCAGCCGCTGCCGGCTTCTCCTCAGAGGCGCGCACGTGTAGCGCCAGGCACTTCTCGCCTGAAGGCTCCAGCCAGGACAGCGGCGCACGCGAGCCGGCAACGCCCTACGTAGCCCCGCGCCGCCTCCAAGACCCGCCCCGAGGAACAGCCCCCAAGCGGCTCGGCTCTCCGTTAGCCATGTTTATATAGCCACGCGGGGCTCCCCGGCGCACGCGCCCTGGCTCTCCTGGAGGCTCATTGGCTACACCGGGCAACCTCGGCTGGGCGGCGTCGCGCGGCGTCACGCAGAGAGAACGGACCCCCACGCCGCTGAAGAACGCCGGAGGCGGAAAGTTATTGGGGAAATCGAACGCACTTGGTGGCTTTCTCTCTCTTACACCCAAACACCTTCATTCACCGAAGGCGCACGTTGCATTCGAGGAAGTAAGTGGAGTTGGTAATGCCAACAAAATGCCTATAATTTTGGGATTTGTACTTTTAAAATGAAGAACATAGGTTTGCTTTGGGGTGGTGTTTTCTTTAAATTGATATTACTTGGGGAGTAGGCGTAGTACACATCCACAGGCACCCCAGCAGCCTTGTAAATAAGCACCCCAAAAGTTGCTAGCATGCAAAGAAGAAGCTGCTTTTTACTAGGAGGAGTGAATAACACAGCAGCTTGCTGTTTTTCCGCACAGAGTACAGAGGAAGGAAATGGAGCTCTAACCTTCCACCACCCACCTGCTCACTTTTCTGCATAAAATTTCCTGCACTGAGCTGCATGCATTTCCTTGTTACTTCCAGGCTAGTGGTTAAATACAAGTCTACTGTATTAGGGCTACTCTGAACAAAGTAGTTAGTGGTTTTCAATGTTTGCCATGAGGCTTAAAAAAATAAGCAGGGTGCATCCTTTTGAGGACAGGCAGGCTGTTCTGATTTGTTGCAGACATTTATAGATCAATGAAATGATTCTTAAATGTGCTCATTTTGCTTTTTTAAAAACATAAGCATGGGTGTGGTTTTGAGAGAGCGAAAACTGTCAGGCAGTGCAATTTTATGCTGCCACTTTACTAGCTGCTGCAACAACTAAAGTGGCACATTATATCACTGCAAGTGGGGCAGAGTTGTGCATTTGCAGAGACTGCTTGACCACCTACTACTGAACTCTCTTGTGATGCCTGTGTTTATAATCACACTGACTTGATTTTTACTGGATTTTTACTTATTCATTTTGGTCACTAGCCATTCTTGTTGCTCCTCAACAAACTGCTGGACGCAGGTGGTGCTGTGGGTTAAACCACAAAGCCTAGGACTTGACGATCAGAAGGTCGTGGTTCAAATCCCCGCGACAGGGTGAGCTCCCGTTGCTTGGTCCCTGCTCCTGCCGACCTAGCAGTTCGAAAGCACGTCAAAATGCAAGTAGATAAATTAGTACCGCTCCAGCAGGAAGGTAAAGGGCGTTTCCGTGCGCTGCTCTGGTTCGCCAGAAGCGGCTTAGTCATGCTGGCCACATGACCCGGATGCTATACGCCGGCTCCCTCGGCCAATAAAGCGAGATGAGCGCCGCAACCCCAGCGTCGGTCACAACTGGACCTAATGGTCAGGGGTCCCTTTACCTTTTTAGGAGGGAGTCTTAGTTATCTCAGTGGGACTTACTTCCCCACAAATTATGCCCAAAGTAGCTTACAGCATTTCACAATTCAAAATAAATCTTAGAAACATTTAGAAATAACGTTGATTTAGCAAATAAATACAAAAAATAAATCCATTCAATGCTGCTGCTTCTTTGGCAATCACTCGTAGCCGAGTAAACAATACAAATATGGTAACCTAGTTTAGCAGCTTCAAATTAAACAGAAGAGAGAATAATCCCTAATTCAGAAATAAGAAAGTAGATCACATGTTGCAGACAATGCACTTGTATCCAATAGTGTGGTTCTGAGACTTCATCTTTAAACATCCAGAATCTCCACCCCATCTCTCACCTGGCTTTCACCCAGAGGGGCCTTATGCTCACCATTATTGTGGGCTCTCGCTTTCCTTCCACACTCCCCCATCCATAAAGGTATGTTCTTCCAGTCTGGAAATCTCAAACAAAGTTTCAGTATTGTGATGACCCCCTAGTGGACCTTTTAGCCTTCCTCAAGTTAAAAGATAAGGGTAACAATGGAGAAACATGATTTAAAGGACAAATTTCTCAAAGAAAAATAAGCAGTTTCAACATTACCAGGAAAAACTACTCTTAAGCATTTTAGAACATTGCCAATTCTGTGTCTGTGGTTCATGCTGTTCATCATCTTATGCAGACCCAGTGTGTTAGTAATTTAATCCTTAAATATTTCCTATTACTGTGATCGGTTAACACAGTCTAGCATTTTTCTGCTTATCTGCAGCTGCCAATTCCTAATCAACTGAAATGGTGGCGTGGGCTTGAGAGTGGGAACAGGGCCTGCGTGGGAGCTGCTGCTGCTGTTAGTCGCTGGCCTTCCAGGCCCTTGGTTCTTAGTGCTCTCGCAGAAACCCCGCCAAGATGTTCAAAAAATTTGATGAAAAGGAGAATGTGTCCAACTGCATCCAGCTAAAAACGTCTGTTATTAAAGGCATTAAGAACCAGCTGATAGACCAGTTTCCTGGGATCGAACCATGGCTAAACCAAATTATGCCAAAGAAAGACCCTGTGAAGATAGTGCGTTGCCATGAACATATAGAAATCCTCACAGTAAATGGAGAATTGTTGTTCTTCAGGCAAAGGGAAGGACCATTTTATCCCACGCTCAGATTACTTCATAAATATCCGTTCATCCTACCACATCAACAAGTTGATAAAGGAGCCATTAAATTTGTACTTAGTGGAGCAAATATCATGTGCCCTGGTCTGACGTCTCCAGGAGCTAAACTTTATCCTGCTGCTGCTGATACAATCGTGGCAATAGTGGCCGAAGGAAAGCAACATGCCCTGTGTGTTGGAGTCATGAAGATGTCGGCAGAGGATATTGAGAAGGTCAACAAAGGAATTGGCATTGAGAATATCCACTATTTGAATGATGGTCTCTGGCATATGAAGACGTATAAGTGAAGAAGCAGGAAGAATCCATTGCCTCTCAGCTGGCCCTGTTTTTAATTCTTCTTTTAAAAAGTGTGGCTAAATGTAAACTTTGTGGTGATGCTAAATAAATCAAATGAATGCTGGGGGAAAAACAAGTAGAAATGGCATGTGAATAAAAGTTTGTTTCGTCAAACAACTTTAGTAATTCTTCAAAAGAATTGCTGTTATTGTGTTCAGATGATATGCTGTTTAACTTATCCTGCTGAATTGAAATTCAGTATATTGTTTTCCATCTGTCTGAAGTGCTCAAGACTGATGAATTCCCTTTCAACAATATGAGTCCCTTGGTCTGAGCTACTCAGGAAAAGCAATTACAATATAATTGTAGGTGTTTCCCCCCCCCCTTAGCTTGTGCAGTGCACCTAAATTCTTTTTAATGAGAAAAAAACAAGACATACAAGTTTTATGCAGCTTTGGGACATCATGAACATGTCACAGTTACTATTCAATTATTGAAAATGGAATTGGAATCAAGCACCAATATTGAGAAGTGTAAGTAAACCGTACCATGATCACTTTTTTAGGTTTGTGTAAGAAGCTTGGGTTTTACATGTTGCTTTGTCCAACAGAAATATAAAGGTGATAAGAAATAGGGACTCTTTTAAAATACAAGCAATAAGCCAACCTGTAAGTGAATTGACAAATCCAATTTAGTTGCTTTTGCTGTATGAATTTTTTATAAGCCTATCCATGCTCCTTAGAGAGTTTGAAAAATTATGACATCCATTTAATGGTGATTCCTAGGGAATATTCATGCAACTATATTTTTGAAGATACACAGGCTTCATCTGGTCTTCAAGCCAGCCCCCCCCCCCAAATCTGCAGCTCCTCCACCCCACACTTCATGGGGCTGCATTTAAAGACAGTTCAGAAGCTTTCGCTGGTACAGAATGCAACAGCCCAGATATTGGCAAGAGCCAAATTGGGCATGGGGAACCTGTGGCTCTCCAGATCTTTCTGGACTGCAGCTCTTGTCATCTGGGTCCATTGGCAATGGTGTCGGGGGCCAATGAGAGTTGGAGTCCAACAACATCTGAAGTGTCACAGGTTCCACATTCTTGGGCTAAATGGTGCCTGCACTGATAACCTCAAGGCTTGATTACCATAATGTACTTTATGTGGGGCTACCCGTGTATTTCAGAGGGACACGGGTGGTGCTGTGGGTTAAACCACAGAGCCTAGGGCTTGCCAATCAGAAGGTCGGCGGTTCGAATCCCTGTGACGGGGTGAGCTCCCATTGCTCAGTCCCAGCTCCTGCCAACATAGCAGTTCGAAAGCACGTCAAAATGCAAGTAGATAAATAGGTACCACTCCAGCGGGAAGGTAAACGGCGTTTCTGTGCGCTGCTCTGGCTCGCCAGAAGCAGCTTAGTCATGCTGGCCACATGACCCGGAAGCTGTACGCAGGCTCCCTCGGCCAATAAAGCGAGATGAGTGCAGCAACCCCAGAGTCGGTCATGACTGGACATAATGGTCAGGGGTCCCTCTCCTTTACCTTTACCTACCTGTGTATTTCAACCAGAAGCTTTAACTAGAGTGGAATGCAGTAGCCAGACTGCTCAAAGGAGCAGATTACTGGCAACAAGTTACCCCATTGTATTATTGCTCTGTATTAAGGTTCTCCAAGACAACTGCCTTGCAACAGTCCCCCCCACACACACACTTCTCTAGTACTGGACACAGCATGGATTGCTGTGGTAAATTTCTGTTTGTTTCCTCTAAATCACCAGGCCCAGACAAAATGAATGTGATTACATATCTCAGTTGTCCAAAGTTTATAAGACTCAGGACGCTGGTGTGCAACAGCCTTTGCCAACCTCATGCCCTCCAGTAGTTTTTGGAAATTTTTATCAGTCTCCTCCTTTATAGCCATGTTGGCTGAGGCTGATGGCAGCTGTAAGCTGTAAGCATCATGAGGGCAGCAGATTGAGGAAGGCCATTGTGCACCAAGCAAAATTTATTACCGGTAAATGAAACTTCTCATCATCTTTCCTCACCTTACCGCCGTTAAGTTAGTATGCTTGTTCAGAGGATAGTAATACATTCTGATGAAATATATATAATAAAATGGCCAATTGTATCTTTTATTAGGATCTTTTGATCCTAAGAGCTCTCAGGGTGCAATCCTATACACACTTATCTTGGATTAAGGCCTGTTGAACTCAGCGGGGCTTCCTTCTGAGTAGATCCATGGAGGATTGTAGTGCACTTTACGTTGAGCTCAGTGGGAGTTACTTCCAAGTAAATGTGATTAGGATCAGACTGCACATTACGTAGATCTATGGCCAGACTTGTCTCAGTTCAGAAGAACCAAAATTATTGACTGCATGAAGAAAAACAAGTGAATTGACACAGAAGCGGATGCTACTCACAGCTTGTATTAACAAAATAGTTTACATGCTTCAAGTGAGGAAACTGCTCCCCTCCCCTAAAAATTCTGTGTATGTGCCATATTTTTCCATTTAATTTTCTTATGCCTTGAGTATATCTTTCCCACTGTGGCAGATGCACAGAAGCAATCATGAGAGCTGCAGTATGTTTTCCCTGAAATATTAATTGTAAAAACTATTCTTCAGAATTGTATGTTAACAAAACTGATTGTCACACTGTGGAAATTAGGATGGTAATTTCCCCCTAAATAATACACAAAATTATGTTTTCATATGCTTTCCCAGAACCCTTTCATACCCATAATGTTCTCAATATGGGGCTTCTTACAGTATATTATAAATTAGCATCAATTACTATAGCTCACAGCATTGTCAGTCTAGAGACAGAGACAACAGAAGTCACATAACGTTGTACCACCAGATGCTAGGGGACACCTTGTGCACTTCATGAATTTTCAATTGAAAGGCACAGTTGCCAGTTAGAATAATTTATATCAATTCTATACAGGTGTAGTTTGTTTAGCTCCTATTTAGCCAATCACTCATAACCATAATAGCTGGTTTTGTTGCATCAAAGCAAATGCTAGGGTTTCCTGTTGTTGTTTTGCCACACTGTGAAGCCTAATATACAACTGATACATGGTTTCATGATTTGAGGTGGAGAAAGCAAGTAAATTTTATAGGGGTTATTGGCTGATTCCTAATTGGTCCCAAGACAGGAGCGAGCTAGCAGTAAATCACACCGAGAAAGTTGGAGTTAACTCTTTATTAGCAAAAACAGGATCTACACAGGAGTGTCAGGCCTAATGAGTACAGCAACTCATTTCTGGCGGGACTTGCCCCCATGAAGCAGTTGCTAAGACTGCAAGTTCCCGCCTCCCCACAGCTCCCTAAGTCCCCTCCTCTCCAGGGTTTTTCCCAAGCAATCTGACACAGCAACTGTGTGTAGCTAACATCTTCTCCACCCTTTTCATGAGTCTCCTGGTTCTGGGAGACATGGGGGGCGGGGGCGGGAGAGGAACTTGTGGCAGCAGGAGGGGAAGACCACCCATGCCTCTTCAACAGTTTGACTCATCTCTGCCTCTTGACCTCCCTTCTCTCCTGCTTCAGCTTCTGCCTCTGCTTCTGGCCTCCTCTCTGCCACAGGCTCCCCCAGCTCACTAAGCCCTGTTACCCCTTCAGCTTCTGACACCACCTCCTCCCAGGCTTCTCCCTCTTCTCTCTCTGACCACTCATTGTCATCCCAGCACCAGTCCCCGGACTCTGAGCCTTCTTCCTTTTGGGTGTTCCCCAGCTGGTTCCTCCCACCATTCCTCCTTATCCAACCAGTCCATGATATCTCATGATTCTTTGTGCCAGACCATTCCAAAACACACTGAGTTGAATCCAGATTTGAGGTTGTATTCAACACTGTTGTTCTGCTTGCATAATAGGCTTTTGCTTGCACAATGGAATTTCCTTGTCCTCTCTTCTGCAGCCCCCACCCGTTCACTCTCAAAATGTTTTTCCACGTGGTTGAGAAACCCTATAGAACAGTTTTGTGGGTCCTTGAGGAGAGGTGAGGAAGAAGTCCCACTGCACAAGCAGAAGTCTTGAACAAGTAGAACGGCAGCATTGAATACAACTAGTGCTATTTTTCTAGAAAAAGAAGTGCTGGAACTCACCATGAACATCTCCCTCGTTCTCTTAGAATGGCAATGGCACCCACCTGAGCGTTGTCAGAACTGAGTTCTGGCTGAGAAAAAGCCCTTAGTTTATTGCGCTTGGTCACCATTGAATTCAGCTGGGCACATTAATAACTTAAGTCCCGGAGATTTCTGTCTCCTAGATTTGAACAGACATATCCAGATGACTCCATGCTCCAGAAGAATGGCTGGAAAGGGAGGAGAGATGTAGAGAAATGCCAAAATAAAAGGCTACAGAAAGAATAATCTCATTATCTGGACAAGTCGCTTCTTGTACACAGTAAGAAGCTATTTTAAAATGTCCCCAGGGTTGCAAGTGAGGATTGCTCATAGAAATAAAATCAGAAATCCAAGATTGGGAGCCAGTGTGTACTCACACAAAAGACTGCACAAAAGACCTCAACAAGGAAAATATTTTTTTCTGGGAGGTTGAGATATTTTTAATATTGCCATTTCAGAACTCAGTTTTGAGTCTATTCTTTAATGTAGAGATTTGTCTGTCTGTCATATGTAGAATGTGGAAGGGTATTTCTGGCAGATGGCATCTGTCATATCTGTTATATGTCTTTTGCACCTAGTTGCTACATCTTGGGGTTCCAGGAAAAAGTAAAGTCGATCCAAAAGTCTGCCTACCCCTAACATAGTTGGTAGCAATCAACAAGAATGTCACTGGAGATAGGAGCAAACATTAAACAACATTTGTGCTTGCATCTACAAAGCAACCTCATCGGTCTGAAAATTCTGTACACATAATCTGAGCCTGAGAAAACCTTCTAAGGAAAGTGACACACTCATATTGTAATACAGTCAAGCCTGAAGAGTAAACACACAAATTTGTATTCGAAACTACACAGTATAGTGACATGTCTAGCAGCCACTATTATGATGATGATTTATTAGTCATGTAACATAAGCACACCACTGTCACACAATCCTAAGGAATGAAGGAATCCCCATTTAGGATCTGTGAGCAGTGATTAGTGATTTACATGGACCACGTCTTCAGCACTTCTCTTTTGCAAAGAGAA